GGTGATCAGTTTGTGGCACTGCTGAGGTGGTATGGAAGCCCAGGTTTCTTTGACAGTGGCCTTCAGCTCATCTGCGTTTTTTGGTCTTGTTTCTCATTTTCCTCTTGACAATACCCTAGCATCTTCAAAAAGCTGGTCTGAAATAAATGAACTTTTCCACGACATTCTAATTTATTGAGATGCACCTGTATATTCATTTTATTATAATTTTGCTATTTACACTAAGTGTAAATAGCAATTAGATGCTATTTACACTATGTGAAAATAGCATAATTTCTTAGCGATAGATGCTATTTACACTAAGTGAAAATAGCTATAGATTCTATTTACACTGTGTTAAATTAGCAGGATTTTCTGCTATTTATACTACTTATTGCAAATAGTGGCAATTATCTGCACCTCAGTATTGTAGCACATTACAAAACAGTATGCAATAATAACGTATTGAGTGTAAATTATAATTTAATTCAAATTATTAAATGGATGCCACCTTATTGGGACAATATAAGCAAACCCTCCCTACAGCTACCCTAACCCTACCTGATACTTTATTTTCAACTTTTTGATTATTTCCTTCATTTTTATTGAAAATAAATGCCTTTCCAATGTGATATGAGATTTGAAAAGGGAGAAAAAAAAGTTCGGCAAAAGGTCGGATTCGAACTCAGTTCAATCACGTCAAAAATGACTACAGCACATGCTTTACCATCTACACCACTGGAGCTGTTATTATACGATCGTCTTTTGTAGTGTTGACTAGCCCAATCACACGTTGGTGGGCGGAGCTAGTGTAAATAGCCTCTGCCGACAAGGCACATAATAGTTGGGGGTCCTTGACATCAAAAGGTTTGACAACCCCTGATCTAAATAAATAAAGTTTGGGATTAGTTAGAGAATAGCGTGCATTATACAAATGAAAACAACAACAACAACAACAAACAAATAAACAAACAAAAAAAAAGAAATAAAACAAAATATAACTCATTGAATGAGTGCAAGGCAACAAGATTTTGTCTTGCAGGTGTATGTTGCCTAAATTTTTCTATTTCTTTTCCACTATCCCAGCTGTTCTAACACATCAGCTCTCTACAGATCTTCCAGACACATATGTGATGTGCATAATCTTTTGGTCCATTTTAATTGCCAAAGCCCAAAATAAAAATTAATACCTTCGAAAAACTGGCAGAGCTCTTCTAAATTAATTAATCCACCCAGCATGCAACACATCAAGCTAGGTGACTGTATGACAGTATGTTGACCTTGATGTTAACGGCAAGAGAAAATATCATCGAATTTCATCACCTAAAGATAAAGGAAATCCAGATATCTGTTAAAGATAATGCCTCCATTCTCTCAAATGACCTTATATGTCAACAAATGCGCTAAAATAAAGCTGTATTTTCATGCTTTGAGCAGGCTAACAAACTTCAGACATCGCAACGCAAACACTGAAGTCTCTTTTCCAAAAAATGAGCACATAAACCAACAAGCACTCGCAATCAGTATTCAGGTCCTCAGGACTTCTCCAAATACAACATGCCTTCATTAGGCGCTGGCACTAAAGAGAGAGCGTGTGTGTGTGAGTGTGATGCGTGTAATTATGTCAGTGTGTGGTTTCAGTGATGAGGCCTGCAATCTCTGTGTGTTGCTAATAGGCAAGGAAAGCCTGGCTTCCGATCTGACTGTCATCAATGGGCATTTAAGAGCCATGACTATGGCTTCACATTATTACTTAACTAATTACCCTCGTCAGTTGAGGTAGGCCAATGATGAGCTCCCTTCCCTCGTTAATGAAACTACGAAGGCCCATGGCTAATGACCCGAGAGCACAGGGCAGCTCCGTTATCACGCCTGCACAGGGGGAGAAAGACGAGGAGAAGACGAGAGGAGGAAAGGACAGGAGGGACAACTGTTGATGGCTGGATGTCTACACTTTTGGACCAAATCGGGGCATTGACTTTGAAATAAAGACCAACCGAAAACCTCAAAATGAAACACAGCCCCCTTTGTGTGCGATATCAAGGCATCATGAACTTCTGTGTAAAAAATGTGAAAAAAGTTGGCTAGTGCTGTTAATGTGGGAAATTTCCTGACTTTTTTTTTTTAAGTGAAATGATAAAATTATTAAAATATTACTTTAATAAAGTATTAAAATAATTACAATATTCATTTTATACAACTATATTTAAAAATATATAGCTACAAAAAAAGTCCCTTTTTTTTTTTACAAATTCAATATTAAATAATATAATACTCAACAGATAATCTACAGAAGTTTAAAAAATGATATTTAAGTATTCAAATATTTTTATTTATATTAATATTTG